ATGTGCCGTGTGTTTTTGCTGCTCGTGGTCCCTTTTTTATTATTTTTATTTGCCCCGACTTTAAGGACTCTTGAGTAATGATGGCCAGACCAAAAGTGAACTGAATCCATGGCGGGGACTCCGCAAATTTGCGGCAACCAGAGGTCGAAAGGGAGAAAAGGAAAAGTGCTGACATGTTATTTGTGCAGTTAACGAGCTGAGTTATTTTCCAGGGAACAAACCGCACTTGAATACAATAAAATGAGGAAAATAAAACCAACAACAGAAATCGGGTGAAAATATAATCAAAAGGGCCCAACGGCCGAACCAGCAATTTTTCCCTGCAGTTATCCCCTCATCAATTTTTGGTTTCTGCCTAACAAATTACACACAATTTATTTTGCTGGTTGAAAGTTTGTTATTTGTTTATTTGATTGCCGCTCATTAAAATTGAAAATGTAATATTTATGCAGTGACCCTGTAAAATGCACCTACTTAATTATATTTTGTAAATCAAAATTTTGTCTAGCATTTGTTTAAATATTATTTTTTCATGTGGTGCCTAATTTATTATTTATTGACCATTTAGCGGAAGGGGTTAAATTTGTATCGAATTGAAAATATTTAAATTTCATTTTAATAAAAACTAGTATATTAGCGATAGAGACTAATTAAATAAATAAATAAATTATAATGCCTTTTCTAGAAGTTAACTAATTTTACTCAACAAACAAATGCCATTTCGTATAGATATCCTTCTACAAAGTCATTGCCCTTTCACATTCAGTAGAAGCACATAACTCATGCATGTAATTTATATGCAACTTTCCATTTTTATTTAAATAATTCAAAAAGTGAGCAGATGCAAGTCAACTCAAGCCAACTGACACACCCACACACATATTTAACATATTTTTTGCAAATAAAATTTTCATAAAACAATAAAGGTGAAAAGTATGCAGACACACATGACAAAAATGCATGTTGAGCTCAGCTCAAATTGCAACTATGCAAATGGCTAACATAGAACATCTGACGCGTCCTGTCTCCCTTAAAAATACATATTCTTCAACAACCACTTGGAAAAAATTCAGCTACACTTTTAACCAGGTTGATTACATTCAAGAAATCGAAAATTCACATTTAACTAATGTATATTATTTATTTTAAAATATGTTGAAGTATAAAAATAATATTGGATTTAATTAAAATAAATATATCATGTACAGTCGTTCTGTATAAAGTCCTTGCAGTGTCTAGAAAAATGCATAAACTGCCGCTGTCTGTTGGATTTCGATTTCACTAGAACAAAACTCAACAAAAAGTCGCGGGAGCTGAGCTTACTCACTGGGTTATCCTTGAATGTCCCTCAGCCAGGAGCTAAATAGCTTTTCCTGGGTCACACACGCCCACAAATAAAGAAAAGTGGGGTGTGTTTTTTGGGCGGTGAGTGGGTGGTATGGTGGATGCCGGATAAACAAACAACAGCAAGAGCAAAAAGCAGCAGCAACAATTGAAATGATACAAACACAGAGAACGCTGCAAAGTGAAATGCAATGCAGGCTTGGGTTATAAATAGACTGGAGGGGTGCAAAAGTGGGATGGAAAAGTAGGAAAATGGGTGTAGGTGCGTTTTTCTTTTTCTAAGGCCAGAACAAAAAACAGCGCAGCATTCTTTTCGATTGCTTTTGTTGGCTGCTGTACAGATGGCTGAAAAGTGAGGAAAAATCGTGAAAAGGAGAATATGTACTTGAAAAATTGAAGAAAATGACCTCCATATATAATACAAACATAAAAAGTGCAAGGTAAATATTAATATAAAATATTAGAGAAATAATATAAAATGCTCGCAGAAAGTAAATTTAAAGTAGAAGAAAGAATTTAAAGTTAAATGTATGTATGTCTAGTTTAAATTTTTTTTAAAATTTTTTATAATTTAATAACAAAATAGGGGCCAGCTTTTTAATCAGTACGAACAAGTTTTTAGCAAAATCTTTTGCAAGAAGAAATAAATTGGTATAAAATACTACTCATTATTTTTAGTTTAAAGAAAGACGTATTTCAATGTCTATTTTAAAATCTTAAGAATGATGTGGGTATTGTAGATGTTTCAAAGCAATGCCTAAGAAAACATTTTCTACTACTACTAAGGGGAATCCCTTTTTTCCTTTTCTTTCCTTTGGCTCATGAATTCCATTGTCACTTTACCTTTAGCCACAGAGAAGCTGTGCTGCTTTCTCTGTCCTTTTTTAGACCTCCTCCAACATCCTTGTATTCACTATGCTGGCATTATTTGCTTACGTGTCCAAAGCTCATATCATCCACCCACCCACTCATGGCCACTTTAATAAATGAAAAACCTCTCTCAGAGTTTTGTTTTCCACTTCTATTTGTTTACCACTGCTGATGTTTAGTTACAGCATTTTTGTTTTGTTTATTATTGTGTTATGTTTGTTTTGTCGCGCATTAGAACAGAGTCATTTCACTTTCAGCCGAGAAATTTGCCGCCGGGGATAAATAATTATTATATAAGCCCCGAGGACGATTTATATTATCTCTGCCCCATCTGAACCTCCATACCGCCCACCGCCCAGCTAATTGAATGCCACATGCAAATGCAACATTTACCCCCAGCTAATTGCATTGCAACACGCGCTTTAAAGTCAATGAACGATTTGGTATTTCGGTATTTTACTTAGCCGCAATAGCAGGCACGCAAATGTCAAAGCTTTTTAAAATAGCCATAAAAAGCCTAGAGCAAACGGAGACCACGTAAATAGAAGCAAAAGTTGTAAATTGCGAAAGCAGTAAACATAAAATTTCATACTCAGTGGGTTATAAAAAATTTACGCAATGTTTGCATTTTTGCGAAAGAAATTAGAGATAGGAGAATATGAAAAGTGGAGTCACAAAAAATTTACAAAATTGTATAAGCGAATAGAATACAATATATATACGAATATATATTATTTATGCAAGTTTATAATTACTCAATGTTTAAAAAAAATAAAAAAAATATATTATTTCTATAAGGACGAAATATTGAATTTTATAATATTATTGTTGTTATTGGCATCTGAATATGTGAATATTAAAAAATATATTTTTAAAAAATTAAAACCTTGAATTTTTTAATATCATTGTTGTTATTGGCATCTGAATATGTGAATATTGAAAAATATATTTTTAAAAAATTAAAACCTTTTTGGACTCATCGCTTTTACGCTTAATAAATTTTTCCCAGTTTTCCATCGTTAGTCTGAAACGAATAAAACCCTATTTTCCTACACAAATAAGTTCCTAGAGGGTTTTCGGCATAGGTGGTAACTGTCAAAATGGCGCCTCCCTTGGGCGCCAACTATTTGCATGTGTGTAGAGCTCAGACAGGATGGGGTGGAAAAGGGGGCAGGCGAATAACGAGAAACCCTTTACAGGGCCACAAATCAAAGGCAGAAACATGAAAACAATATGTCAAATGATATTACACATTAAATTAGTTAGGACCAAATAAATGTGAATAATAAAGCCGCCTGGCGTGTGTCTGCGGGGTGTAAGGACGGCGGTTCGTGTCGAGCATGTGCTCAGAAAGGAAAACTCGATTTTCCTTACACCTGCACCTACCTACCTCACTTAACTCTACCACCGCAAGCTGATTTTCCCTTGCTACTTGTCTGGAGCACATTTTCGCCCAGCAGCAATTTGTCACGTGACATTTTCGTTTGGCCAAAAATTACAAATGTTTTTATTATTTTTGGTTTGTTTTTCGAATCCGCGATGCATGCATGCTTGGAGGCGTCGCCAAGGTGCGTGTTTTCGGGTCTTGATTTCCTGGCGTGTTTACACCGAGGATACGACGCAACATGACAGCCCAGAAACAAGGAAAATAAGGTGGAAAAGGTTATGGGGAATATTCCTATATTTGTTTTAGCATTTAAAATAAAATTTGCAACCAAAGAATTAAACAGTGGCTTTTTATTGGTAACAAAAAGTAGTTTTTAAGCTGGCAATTCTATACCCAATTTTAATTAAAGAGGTACAGAATAGAACTTTAACTATACAATAATTTATGTGCATTAAACATAAAATTTTAAAATAACACTAACTATAAATAAATTTGCACAGAACCAAAATTTAACACCAAACAAATATTTTAGTTTTCATCACTTGTTAGCTTGTCTGACACTGTTTATTTATGAGTTAACCCAAAAAAATGACGATTTTAATGGATTTTCCATGTATGAATTTGACCACAGGTTGTTAATGCGATTTCATTTTTATAATTATACGGCTTCTTGCCGATTTCTGCTAATGAATTAAGTTGGATTTTAAAAAGCATTCTTGTCCTGCACGCAAACATGCAATGCAGTCGAAACTTGGCGGTGTGGTAAAAACCATGATGGAAATAGTCACAATTGTTGTTATTATAGTTACTTATGTGAAGGAAGAATTCGTTGAAAGTGAAAATTATGATTTTTAGTGGAACAATATTAATTAGATATTAAATTTATGATGGCAGGAGGAGCTCATATTTAGCTAAAAAATTATGAAAAGCATTGTTTTGGTTGAGTAGATGTTGACACTCAGTAAATGCAATACAATTTGGCTACCACGAAATTAAAAGATTATTGAATGTTAACTTTTTAAATTTACAAATTAAATTCTAAGGTTATTGTGTTACTGCATTGGTCGAAATAAAAATTTATTTTACAAAAGGTTGTCTTAGAAATGAAAAATGATTGTGTTTGTACATCTATCTTAACAATCTATCATACATTTTGTTTTAAAATCTTAAAAATACCAATTATCAATGTTTAAATGTTAAAAAGTTAAAACTAAATGAATGTAAGTCACAATAATTAAAATAAATAATTTGTTAAGTTATTTTTAGGACATGCCTTGTTAAATAATACAATAATATTATTAAAAACCAAAAAGGTAGTGGTAACATTTTGTTAGAGGTTAGTGTGAGTTGATTTTGGGTTCCAGGGAATGGATCTATATGTCGTCACTCGCACACTCACCTATCCCTCAGGCAAATTTTGAACTCCTGCTGCGAGTCGTAGTCGCTGTTATCGATAAAGCTGCTGCGATCCCGCTCCCGTTCCCGCTCCCGCTCGCGTTCCCGCTCCCTTTCCCGTTCCCGCTCCCTTTCCCGCTGGTACTCCTGCATGTTGGCCAGCTGTTTGTGGAACAGCTCCTGCTGCGATTGGAGGAGCTCATGGTGATCGGCCAGCTGGGACAGTTGCTGCTGGTAGGAGGAGGACTGCAACTGCTGCTGCTGCTGCTGCGGGGGGAGGTGGGTCTGGGCCGCTGGTAGGGATGGTGGTGGTGGTGGTGCAGCTGGTGGTGCGGATGGCGCTGCAGCGTTCTGCTGGCCGAGAGCTGCGGCTGATGGGTGTGGTGGCTGTGGCTGAGACTGTGACTATGACTGTGACTGTGACTGTGGTGGTGCCCCAGACTGTGGCTGCTCTTCAGCTGGGTCAGCTTGGCGTCCACCTCGGCCAGGCCGAACTCCAGCTCCGCCTGGGCCTGCTGCTCGTAGGCCTGCTGCGCCTGCTGCAGCCGTTCCCGCTCGCTGCGCGGCGAGTTGGCCAGCTGCTCCGCCGGCGGCTCGATTTCCACCGCCGAGTAGTCGTAGTCCAGGCGGTGGTGGTGGTGCAGCGACTGGGTGTTCTTGCTGTCCGCCGTCACCGCCCCCGTGCCGGGCGTGGCAGTGGCTATTTTGCCGGCCAGGGCGTCCAGCGAACTCAGCATCCTGATCCTGGTCAGATGTGGCTAGTCGATCTGTGTTTGCTCGCCGGTTGGTGGGTTTTTCGCTGACATGCAGACAACACAGCTGGTGGGTCCGCGACTTTTTGGCCTCTGCTCCAGCTTTAGAATCTGCTGTTGGCCTTCTCTTCTCGCTCTTGGTTTCTTTTACAACTTTTTTCTACTTTATTACTATTGCTTAACTTGCCTGAAGGAGAAGTTGGGAGGCAAATTGCAATGGATTAGTAAATTTAAATGAATATTTATTAGTTAAGGTAGATAAATGAGTGAGGCGACCTTGAGACAGACAACCAGGCATGCAATATATCCCCTGTTTATTTTGCAGCTTAGGTCAGCTACATTTCACTTAAGCTCACAAACTCGAGAATAAAGAACCAGTTCACACACACACCCGTACACCCGCACACCCGCACACACTCACTCAGTGTCTGTGTCCGTCTGTCTGTGGTCGTAAAACGCAAACACTTGAGCTAGAAAAGGGCCAGCTTGAAAGGCAAGGCAAAGGGTTTTGTGGGATGAGAGGATGCAGTGGTGGAGTGCTTGCCACTCACATTGTGTGCAGTGTTTGCCCGCCCATCATCCACATTGCAACCCCCACAAACACAAACATCTCTGGGGGCAAAAGGCGCTCCTCCAGTTTCTGTGGTCAAAATAATTGGGGGGACATTCAAATAAAGAAAATCAAGAGGAATGCAAAAGTTATACCTCTACAAATGTGCAAATGCAGACTAAATTCGTTGCATATTGTGCACACTTGTTTTACAACCAAAATGAATATTCATTTATTATTTTATTTTTAATTAAGTTTGTAACTTTTTCTTAACACAAAGAAGAAGTAAAAAAATTGTCGATTCCCTTACATATTAAATTTAAATATTGTTACAAGTGCATACAAATATTTATGTAGATACAAGTTTTCTTATTAAAAAGAAATACTACTTATTATCTCCCAGATAAAGTTATTTGTGGATTATCTTAGGACTGGAAAATAAATCCATTCTAGACAATTCCACTAAGGAAAAAGGAGGACCCGAGTGGCAAATACGTCGACCGCACTTCATCCTCTTACACTCCTGTATATCCTGTAGTTTTACAATCCTTATCCACTCTGCTCAGCACCTGCAATATCTGCAATCAAATTTGCAGCTTACAACAGAAATCCATTGTTGTTGTTGAGGCTGTCGGATCTTTGTATCTACAAAAACTACAAAGTTTGCTTAGTATCTTTTGCCAGCGATGATTGAGGGGGTGGTGGCAAATAGGTGGAGTGGGTGGGTGTGTGGGTGGTTGAGTGGATGGGTGATATCCTCCATGATGTTTGTTGTATGACATACTATAAAAGTCAACTCGAATGCGCTGTGTAAATTTCACCACATCTCGTTCTCCCAGAATCTTGCACTTCTCACTCTAGTGCCTTGCAACTTTAAGTAGTTCTCCCTGCTCGCCAGCTCCTGTGGCAGGGACATCCTTTCTCTATCCGGCGCAATGGTTGCATTTGAAAGGAATTTGCCTTTACAAGATTTTACTCTTTGCAATTTACACGCGTCGACCGCTTTTCCATAAGCACACAAATGCATCTAAAACACACTACATACACGTTTGCGAATGTGTTTGTTTGGTTGTTGCAAGCAGTTGGCTTTTGTAAATGTTACTTCCTTATTACATGGCATTATATTATTGCAGATACACAGCCAGTCTCGGCTATCAAAGTAGTCCCAGCCACAAATGGGGGCAGGTTGAGATGCAGGGGAAGTTGCAGGAGCGGAACGAAATGGGAAATGGTGGTGGGAATGGCTTGCTAAATGCTTTCCAGGATGTTTGTCCACACAGGATGTCTTTGCAGCAACAGGAACGGAAAGAACGAAATCTTTGTGCCTGTAATTAGCAAGAAGTAGGCGGTTCTGCAACTTCGTTTAAAGTTTATCGTGAAAGCCACAAAAAAAATTAATGACGAGATGCATGACAAAGTCATCAATGTTTTAAGAGAAAAAGGTTATTTCTTTCATCTTTACTACAGGATTTTACCTTTAAATAGATCGAAAAACAAAATATTCCACCTAAAAGAAGTTTTATGAAAATCGGATGGGAATAAACTTCCAAGTATGTATAAAAAAGAAGTAGATAGAAGTAGATAGAAGATATTTTATTTAGAATACTGAAAATATTTTATTTAAAAGCTGAATAAAAGTTTAAATTGAAGCAGTAATTACTTTTGTATTATTATTATTTTTACGAAAAAGTATAAAGCGTTCCCCTTAAAAAGCTTAATTAAATGCATATTAAACACAAACTTGCATTCGTTTATTTCCAATGAACTTCACTTTAATCCTTTAAAAAACAATTCTGCAACTTAATTAGGCATGCAGCTAATTACATTCAAAGGATATCAAGCTCAACCCACAGCCTCAAGGCAAAGGAGCCAGACAGTTGGAAGTCGGTTCCTTTTTGTGCTTTTCATTAGCAGAGGCATAATAGAATTTGAAAAGGCTTTAAGAACTGCGCTCTGTGTTTTATCAAAACTAACAAACGGAAAATAAGGAGGGGTGTGGGAAAAGTCAAAAAAAAATCTAGAGAAAATCGTGATAGACGGGAAAACTCTCTCTTGAAGTTTCAAAGACAAGCGCGCCATAACCCAAAAACATAAATCTTTTAGTGAAAAATAAATAAAGCGAACTGGCAAGAGGAAAATGAATATGCTTTCCGTCGCAGAAAGATGAGGAAATATAAGTGGAAAAAAGTTGATAAGCGGCCACTGCAAAAGCTTTTTAACACCCAGTCGGCAAAGAAAAAAGCGAAAGAGACACATTGAATGCGGATTTCCCACTGCGGAGCTACAAATAAAAAAAATAATGGGATTTTTCCAGTCATGAGAGTGACAGATAGTGACTTAGAAAATATTGAGCGTTATAAAAGAAGTTTAATATGGAAGTTTAAATAAAATAAAAGGCATTAGAGTGAAATAAAAATAAAGATTTTCTTTATTTATAAAAGAGATTATGTGACTCTATTTAAGGAAGATTGCATTTAGATGTACATTAATTAATTTTCCTTAATTAAACTAATGTCCAGTTGCTTAGCTTTTGAATGCCCTCATATCCTTTCTTGTTTGAACAATAAATATGTTCACAATATTCAATTATCAGCAAAGCACATTTTCCTTCGTATTATTTTCCATGATAATTCCGCACTAGTGCAAATATTCTCTTCGGCCAGCATTAAATCAAATGAATCGTATATTGCCACACGCAAATATTGTGTCACTTTACGAAATATAATCCTGAGGAGAATATAGAAACCCATAGCCCGCTGCTAAGAAACTGGCATAAATTGTCAGCTGACAATTTAATAAACAATGCAAACTCAGGGCTAAAATGATTAGACATTTATGGATGTGTGCCCGGGGCCAGAGCAATGTAAATGTAAATGAATCGAGTAACTAATTAAGCAGCAGGTCAGTAGACGGATGCTCGGCCAGAAGGATGGACTAGAAACACCAATACGGATTTCACTTCCATAAATTATTTCAATGCTCTGAACAAAATCATTCCACCCCCCTCTTCTTCAGATATCCCCGAAATTAAATATCGTACACAATTGTTGCCTTCTTCGTTGGCAGTAAAGAAGAAAGTCTTAACCGCAACAAGCCAAAGTCACGATGAGCGGGAGAAAGCAATTACTTTCTGCTCTGCTTGTTGCTTCTCCTACAAGACGTAGCACGATGGTGCTGCCCCGAAAAAATGTGAATAGGAAACTTTTTGTGGCCCTGACAGCAGTTTATGCTACACTTGCTCCGACTCAAACTGTCAATATTTTACTTTAAGAAACCCGGCCACAAGGAGTCGAGGAGCAGCCACATCATTTGCTATAAATTTACTTCATGCTGCTGTAACGACCCAAACTCGACGGAACAGAACAACAAAGTGGCAACTTCTTGTGGGCGGTTCCAGACATAAATTCCTCCTTCCTGATTTTCTCAAGCTGTATGATATATACGGAAATTAAAATTGAAAATATTTTTAAAGTTCTTTGAATTCAAATTTAAAATTTAATTTTATTTGTATTTCGTTGGAAATTAATGACAGAAATTAAGATGAGTTCTTGGAGAAGACAATAAATGGTTCCATAAATAGTTTTTAGCTCAAATGGCTCGTCTTAAATTTTATATTAAGGTTTACTTTATATGCAGACCAGGGCAACATGTTCATTTTTGTGTTTCTTGGTGTGACAAACTTTTATAGAAACTGAACCTAGAAAAAAAATTCCGGTATGAAAAATAACAATATTTTTAATGCAATTTATTCCTTCCAAAAATTTGAACGATATTGAATTTGAAACCAGATTTCCTCTCACTTTTCAAACGACCCCACTGTATTTTGCGGTCGGTGCCGAACATGTGCTTTGCTGGCAAAGTTAAGACGAAACCTGTCTAAACGAAAGCACCCACCCAACTGGGCCACAAATTTTGAGGTCAGCCTGGGATGGTCTGGCATAAATCTGAGAGCAAACTACACCGAGGAAACCATCTTGGACAGGACATCTCGGTCTCAGACTCCTTTGGCCTGTGGCGAGTCCTTGGGAACGGACTTTGAACCCCATGTTGATGCTGGTAATCAAGGCATTAAGTGTGTTTACTGTTTATTTTATTAGACTTTAAGGCTTAATAGCTTTTTCAAGAACGTTTTTGGGCTCGCCTTTGTTTCGCAGCCTCTCGACCTCGCCCATTCAAGTATTTAATTAAAGTCAACTTTGATTTAATTAAAAGTTCTGGCCCTGGCCCAATATTTTGCTCATGAATTATTTATGCCAACAAGTGCGCTAAAAAAAAAGGCGGCCAAACTGATTAAGCCAAATAAACATAAAAGAGAGGGGCAATTGCTGATGGTAGAAAACAGGAAGTGCGACAAGTTACAAGTTTGCACCGCAAAATAAGAAAAACTCTTACTCTCATTAGCGAGAAACTTTGCCCAGAACTGAGACTATAACCTTCCTCATTTTCCGTAATACCCTCTCCCCTTTTTGAATGGCGAACTTTTGCGTTTAACTTTTTTGGTCCTCTTTGCGTTCGTTCACTTTTTCTATTTATCTCGGCCAGTACTTGGTCAATTTCCCGGTTAGTTTTGTAACTTTGTTGACGTGTCCAGCAATCGACTGTCGTCGTCTGCTTGCCATTAATCTGTCAATTTCCTT